GGAGGGGCGGCCTAGGCCGGTGACAACCACTCGTTCTTCTTCTTTGGACAGTAGTAAGAAAGAAACGAGAGAAAGAGAGAGAGAGAGAGAGAGAGAGAGAGAGAGTATTTAATTTAATTTTGTTTTATTTTTAATTATTTTTAATTGTTGGTAATAAAAAAAAAAATGAAAAATTAAATAATAAGGGCAAAATCGTCTTTCCAAAAAAAAAAAGCCAAATTGGACCAAACTTGCAAGAAAATGAAACTTTTGGACCATTGATGCTAGCCAAAACCGTTTTAGCCCAAACATGCTAGTTTTGACATACCACAGGAACAATTTTTGCAATTTTGTCTCTCTCTCTCTCTCTCTCTCTCTCTCTCTATATATATATATATATATATATATATATATATATATATATATATATATATATATATATATATATATATATATATATATATATATATATATATAGGTATATTTTTGATAAACGATATTATAAACAATTTAAGAAAAAACTATGATTGGGAAGATAATTTGTTAACTTTAATATTTTGTTAAATGTTGTTTTAATCTTACCAAACATTATATAGAAAAGTTGTTCAATCATATCCAATATTCAGTGTAGCCTGATCCGATACAGTTTCATCCAATTTATTCGGTATAAGAAACGTTATGTACAATCAAAACCTTTCTTATGTGGACAACTTCTTTTTTTTTTTTTTTTTTTTTTTTAATTTTGTTTAATATATAATATTGTTGAGCCAATTGATATTTGTCACCAATATAGGTAGTCTATCTTGATCTTAGTCCCATGAGTTGTTTTATATTTTAACTGAATGTGATTTTTCTCAAATTGTTTCTCTAAAAAAAATTGTTATCCAAATTAAGTCTTTAGCCATTACTCTCTGATCTTAGTCTTGGTCTCTTGTGGTCGGTTTACATATCAATACATGTGATTTCATTTGATCGTTTCTTTCGAACCATTTAATAACACAAATACTCAAAACAATTTTCAAAGTTAGGCTATGTTTTGTTGACGTGAATTGATATTTTCAGTCTCTAATACAAGTCTAGGGCTCACATGATTTGTTTATCTATCCATGTAATATTATTTTAGTTGATTAGTCTATATTGATAAACCCCAAGCAGTCATCATAATCAAAAATAAAATATTAGTCAAGGGTCTAGATTTAAGATAACTATTACCAATGGCGAGTATAAAACGTAAAACCACATGTTTCACTATTTAAATGAAAGCAATAAAAAAAAATTATTTGAAAATCTTGATTTATGCATATTTGTTTTTGCCAAAAACATTAAGGTGGTTCACGTAAAATATTTAAAGTAGTTCACAATTTATATTTTTATATAATCCTTTATAGAAAAAAAAGGTCGAGTTTCCTACCTTTGACGTATGTAGCCTCGCCACCGACTATTGCGGCGGGATATTGTTGGTTATATATATATATATATATATATATATATATATATATATATATATATATATATATAATAATAATAATAATAATAATAATAATAATAATAATAATTTTAAGTCAAGTAATTAGTAGCATTAGACAAAGTCAAAACTTGAAGTTGAATCACCAAAGTTAAAATCAAGAAAAATGCAAAACTCAACTAAGCTAATAAGCTATCAACTAAGCTAATAGGTTAATCAAGTAAACAATAACTTTATATTGTTGTAGCCTTCTAGCACTTAACTAAACAACCAGAAATCAAACTCAAAAACCATTAGGTGTTAAGTGTTAAGATTCGAGAAGACAAGAACCAAAATTATGAAATCAAATAGAAATAAGCAAAGCTAGTTGGTTACCATACTACTGACCAAATCTCGGTGAGATTCTTAGCCAAATCTCGGCCTAATCTAGGTGCAATCGGTGAGTTCTCATGATCGATATTTTGTCTAGGTATGATATCTAAGATCCCAATGATATTAAATGCATCAGATAAACATTTGATTAACGCAAATACTTATCAGTTATAAAAAGGTTTTTCAAAGTCAAGTTGTTTGTTTAGCTCGAATCAAAGCCTTGACTAATTGATCAGCGTCTTCATGTCACTTGATCAGTTCATATTTTAGTGTATTGTAACTTGTTGAATAAGTTTATATTTAACGTGCCAGCTAAATTATGAATACAATATCTTAGATAGTTATCAAAATGCAGTAAACTCAAAACATAAATAGTTTATGCAAACCGAAAAGAGCATAATTCATTCACATATTTCACTTTAGTATCTCTTCCTTAAGATTAAATGTGCACAATGGCCTCTACATCACTTTAGTATCTCTTCCTTAAGATTAAATATACACATACTTTACTTAAATATTAAACAAGTCGTGCGTAACTTTTCTCATACTAATATTAAATATTATTGTACAATAGAGGGGTAATTCGAATTCGGACCCCAAAAAACCCAAACCCCAAACAAACCCGACCCAATGAAGTCTAACATATATAAACAAACCATATTTAACCTTCAGAAACTAGTGACGTCACCTTCTATGGAAGCTCTGCAATGATTTTGGAGCTCCTTCAAACAAATCCATAATATAATTCTCAAGATCATCAGCAGTATACTTAATGTATTTCTCACTAATCGTGTTCGCATGTCTACCAACAAAAGTCCGATAAGCTTGAATCACTTTAAGCGACATCGAGATCCTCAAATCATCACGAAGTTGAGTATTCGGAATCGACCATCCAGTTTGATTCTTGTAAATATCTTCAAACGCAGTGTAAAACGCCTGCAATCTTTCCTTAAGCACAGTCTTCGAGGTTGAATTTGAGCTTCCAGAATTATGAAGACTGTCTTCTCTAAGCAAATTCAAAATCGAACTCCACGTGGCTCGTTCATAGCTCATTGCGTATTGCTGAAACTTCCAGTTTCGTTTCCGAATCCAATCGTCTCCAAGTACGTTTCTCAACTCTGAATTTTTCACCTTTTCAGCCATGTAGTTGATGTTGTTCATCATGAAAAGGTGCCCTAGGGCTTCGTCTTTGTACAATTTTGACTTTTCCTCGAGGTTGCATTCCAGAATCGACATTAATGATCGGAAATGTAACGCCATTGGTGATGAAGACGAGTTTCCGTTATTCAAATCGTCTTCGTGTCCAGGACTTGTGTCCGGTGAAGACGACGAATCTAGATTGTCTCCAACACGGTGGTCACTCAGGCACGCGTTTAATTCATCGCTGAAATCAGTTAGGGTTTTGATGTAATTCATCACGTAACGAGTGAGATGGTGGTTACCGCCGCCGGGAAAGGCGGTGTTTGATGTATTCGCCCCTACTTTGTTCTCGAATTCGATAAACGTGGCCTTCACACAATCTCCCACCCGCATCAAAGCGTCGTGACATTCCGTTCTTATGTAACTCCCGTTTTCATCGGAATACAGACTCTCAATATCCGGCATGAGATCTGCTAAAACTTCATACATGTCGAGAATTCTCAAAAGCTTTTCCGGTTGGTGTGGCCCGATGGCGATCGCTTCTGCAAAGTTCAAAAGCTGCAACATCGAAGCTTTTGACGACTCTGTAAAACAGAGCGAACTCACCGATTCCCCCTGCCCGAATATCTGCTCGCATAAAAACTTCTCACTTGCGAGATAAACCCTAACGAAGATCTTAATCGCTTTTGTCCATCTTCTAATCTTTGAATTCAAAGAAACCCATTCCATTTTCACAACATCTTCAATGCTTAATTTTTCGATTTCGAGTATAAAAAGACAATCATCCAATGCATCTTTTCGGACACTAATGAACGCTTGAGAACATTCCCGACCATAATTGGAATCAAACATGGAATTCGCGATTCCTTTCAAGTCCGGAATCACCGCCGGATTGACCAAATCCATTATAAAAACTTCAGCTCCACGGCTTATGCTATCTCGTTGAACGGAATCGTCAATTGAATCATCCCCAAACGAAAGAACGGAATTCTCATCTAAACCATCATCTTCACTGGAACGGAATGAGAAATGTTCAGGCTCGAAGTTTTGACGATTATGAACAAGCATATGTCGAAATTCCTCTTCGATCCTCGCCATTGATGTTTGAAGAAGAGCGTTAACGTTTCTCAAAAGGGCGTTATCGTTTCTTCCGAGTTTCAAATTCTCTAAGCTCTCTGATAATCTTCTGGCTTCATCGACTGTTTTCAAATACTCTTTAGCTTCTTCAGGATCGGAATCCCATATCATGGATTCATCACGTTCCCAATTCATGATCTTTTCTTGAATCGAATTGACCCGTTCTTTGATATCACTAAGTTCTTCATCTTCATCTTCATTTTCTTCATCGTCTTCGTGTACAGTAGCCTTAGCCATGGAAGTCAATCGGGAGCCTAAATCCATTAAGATTTTTCTAGTTTCGCTGGTGATTTTCTTGTTGGAATCAAGCGCCATGACAATAACATTAGCAGCAGCGATTATATTATCTTCTTCAAGTGTTTCCATTGTTGGATTAAATCCTACCATATCCGAATAAACAAAAGAACAAAAGAACAAAAGAAAATCACACTTAACACGCCAACTCACAGAGGAATTTCGTCGAGCGCTTGGTATGCAAACCGAAAATCATGAACGAGGAACCCAAATCAAATAGGAATCGAACGAAAAAAACATACGCTTTTAAGATCCAAGTGCAGAATAAACAAAAAGAGAGTGGAAATCGAACAATTTGACTAAACGTCTAAACCCATAGAGATCCTATCTAAATCCCCAATCCCAATCTGAAGATCTCCTGAAAAGTGATTGAATGATTGTCTTGTTACTATCTTACGAAAGAGAAACAACTGACCTTTCTGAATGATCGGAGGTTCCAAGCAACAACCTATCAATGCCCGCTATCTTTCCCCCTTTGGGTTTTGTACGGATATTGATTCTTGTAGCCTGCTGTCTTGGAATTCTTTATTCAAGTTTTTTTATTTGGAAATTTATCGATTTGGAGTTTGACCTTTCAAACTTCGAGGAAAGAAAGCAATTAATGAAAAGCAGCCGTTTCTCTATGGTTGAATGTATACGTGGCGCTACCTTATTGGTTACCGTGGATAACTCTCATGGAAGTCTATAGTTGGACTTAAAAGGTGACAGATATTTGTCATTATATAGAAGTGCATATAGGTCCTTTCGGACCTAGTCTTCGAGCTTGATGAAATGTTGGATTGATTTAAGACCACACTAACATTTACTAACAAAAAAAAAAAAAAAAAAATTAGGAAAATGATGGTTGAAAGCGTTAGCAGATATTGGCCATCATTTGATTGATTTAAGAAGATGAAGATGGAGCACTGAAAGTTTGGTTGCTCATCGTATTGAGAATTCGATTATCGTCAGTTATAGTGTTTTCGGAATGTTCATGCAAATAAACATGATCTAAGAGATATTTGTAAACTACTACCAACAACGATAAAAATATCAATACAACCCTCAAATATGGGACAATATGAAAATGTACACTAATACCCATTTTAAACTCAAGCGGATGAATGATCAAACATAAGTACAAAAACTAATAAATGAAAACTGATAGACAGGTGTGTCTTTGTAAAATTATTCGCAGGTTGACGCATGGTAGAGAGAGATAAGAGACAAATCTTCTTAATTACCAACCATATGTTGGCGAATGAAAAGCCAGTGAGGCAGAATTTTTTTTTTTGGGCCATCTCGATATGTTTTGTACACTCATAAAAGACGTTGTTATCAATATGTATGACACTATGGTTTTTGCAACATAGTGTCGTAGGGAGAGACAGATGAACCATATACGTTGGAACCACTTTAATTGAATTATGATTGTTTAGTAATGAAAGAGTCTCTCGTGTTGTATGATTACGACAACTAGAATTAAACAAACATGCAAAATCATGAAAATTCATGAGTATTCATAGAACTTGACATGAGTTGTTGGATTGATTCTTGATTTCTTTGTGATAATTCCACAGAGTTAGAGGTGTTTGTCACCTTGTAAATGGATCACATATACTTGTCACTAGAACTTGACAAGAGTTTGTGTATTAAGTATTAATTCTATTCTTTTTCGTAATTCTATAAAAAAATACATGTGGTTGTCGCATTAAAATATATGGGGTTTGTTTGAATCGGTGATGGGATCATGATATGCGTATAGAGAGATCGCTTTGGTACAAAACTGATAAGAGGTATTGACTCACGATAGTTGGGTTAAAAGGTAAAATAGTTGATTGTAGCCAATTGAAAGACAAAGGTATTCGATTGGTCCTAATGATGTTAGTTAGTTGGTGGTAATTTGGGATGGTTTTGAGAATTAATTACAATGTTCTAGATTGTACTTAAGTAATTTGTATATTATTGGTGTTTGATGAATTCTCAAATAATTGAAGGATCATTAGCATATTTGAAAAATACCAAACTTGAATATGTGTAACTACAATGGTCAAATCCATTTAGATAAACAATAATAAATATAAATACAATCATATGACGCTTAAGGATCATACAATATGGATAATGTAACAACCCAAATTTTTTCATTTGAATATTTAGAGATTTATTTGAGTTTTCTATAAAATACGAAATTCTAAACTTTCAAAAATAATTTACATCTCAGGATATTATTGGGTTTACAATAAATCATAATCATAAAAATCAAGCAATAAGGGAATATCAAAAGTAAAATCTACTTCTAGTCCAAGTCCTTGGTTCTTCTATCTCCTCTCATACAACGACAACTTAACATATGGAAAATCTACAACATTAGACCATACGTCTTGTGAGTTATATCAAAATTTGTTCTCATGTGTTGATACTCTACTACTCTTTTTCTCTTATTCACATACTTTACCATTCTACTCTTTCTTTCTCATACTTTTTGTAACATCCCAAAAATAAGGCTTAAAATTTTTTCATTTTTTTTAATTAATAAAAAGGTAAACCATATCATTGTTATAAAACCAAGGTAATCAAATTCTATCAATACATCATCATTATCAAAGTAAATCACGATATGCAAAATCGAGTGGTGTGTGCTTTGCAATCATTCCAGGTTTTTCCCATTGGAACCGTAAGTACCTAAAACATAAACTGAAAACAGTGAGCACAAATCTTAGTGAGTTCCCAAACTACCAAATACCAGACATAATAAACACATAATGGGCCCCGCTCGACATCGAGCCCCACTCGGTATATAGATCTGTCAGTCATCAGGCCCGACTTGGCATCCGGTAAGTGTATTAATACATAAACATATAAACACATACAATAATCACAAAACAATATCATACAATACAGTCATCTGGCCCCTCCCAGTAACATAACAACGCATACGCATGCAAGAGCCACACATACACCTAGCATCCTAGCGCAATAAACCATAGGGTGACATTTGTAACACCCGTTTATTTGTTAGATAAATAAATAAATTAATGTACGAATAGTGGCTCTAAAATTAATAATTATATACCAAGGTGTTGGTTTTGGGAAGCCAAATGCCTTAAGTTGGATATTTTTTGTGCTAAAGTATAAGTTCGGGATTTATTTTGTAAAGATTTTAGAAGATAGGGGGATATTTGGTAAGTACTAGACCTAATATGAAAGGATTTATGAAAGTGGGGGCTACAAAGTAAATTATGGACTTCCTTTGAAAATAAATGCAGAGAGGGGGCTAATTGGTAAAAGTTGGACTTAATTTGAAAGGGTTTTTTTCGAGGTCAGGGTTTATAATTATGGGGGTTTATTTCATAATAATTTATTGAGGGATGGGCTGAACTTGTTGTTACGGAAACAAGTTTGGGGGATCGGGTATATAAACCCGTCACCCCCGGTTCTAAACCCTAACCCTAACGAGTGAAGACAACTGCCGCTTTCCTCTCTACCTCCAGCCACCGGTACTGACCCCGACCACCTAGCACCATCGATGACTCTTATCATCGGCTATAGCGAAGACCGATTGAATCGGGAATGGGACGCTGCATCAATTGAATACTGGAAGAGGAGTGGACGTTGTGGGTGCCGCTGGTTCGTGATTTTCTAGCTGCCGGTTACCGTCCTGCAGTTGCATCACCGTTGCCACTTCAATGACGGTTCCATCTTCGGCCGTTGTTGGTCATTACCGTTGCCCGTTCGCTTGTTGTTACACTCTTGTCCGAATTTTATCGCCACCATGGACGACCGACCATTGTAGTAAAGTACCTTGCTCCCAATGATGTGCTAAGTGGGTTGTTGGGAGGAATTCGTCAAGATGAAGGAAGGACGCTGCCAAACCCTAGCCGTTACCTCTTTCGCCTTCCCATGTCGTTGTTGTCGATAGTTTCTTTCCTACCACCCTTAACCGTCGTGTATGGGTGGTTGTGGGTGTGTTATAGTGTTTGTGTGTGTGTGTGTTTCACTTGTAAGAGGGTCTACAAGAGCGTTTTTGGTCGGAGTTCACAAAAAAGCCACCACCACCACCGTGAGGTGGTGGCTGCCACCATGCACCAACGTGTGTGTTAGTAGGTGTGCGTGTTTATTTGAGATTTAGACATGTAAAATGTAATTAGAAATGGATTAATGAAAAGAAAACTAAAACCACCACCTTAGGGTGGTGGCTGTCGCCTCCTGCTGCCGTGTCGGGTGGCGGTGTGCTTTGCCTCGTTATGATCGATTCGTTTGGGGTGCTTGAAACCCTAATGGGCCCAATGAAGCCTAATGGGCTTAGTGAAAACCCTAATGGGTCTAATAGACTCAAATTAACCCAATGCAAACCCTAATGTGCTTAATGATATTCTAGTGGGCCTAATAGGCCCAATAAAGCCTAATTGACCTAAAAGCCCAACAAATTAATAATGGGCTAGTATTTAAGTTGGAAAACCCTAATGCCAATAAAACCTTAATTTTGGGAATTAATCGGGACACACATAAATTATTTAATAACTGGAGATATTAAATAATGATCATTGGCAAAAATTAATCTAAGCAATATTGGACTTAATGGATTAAGTGAGAAACACTTAACCCTAATTATCATTTTATATGAAGACCTAATTTCACTTGGGCTATAGTTGGGCCTAGATGATTATGAGACATTGGGCCATTAAAATGCCAATTGTTTGGACTGGAATTAATGGTTGGGCCTTAGGGTAAGACCTTTTAAAGGTTGGGCCCAATTTGGAAAACTTGGCCATATGTTGGGCCTTGATTCCTAGTTTGACTTTGGGCCTATGGTTTGGGCCTTGGGGTTAAATAAGCCAAGAAAGGGTGTAATGTAGTAATTACCGGTTCAACAGTCATGCGCTTAGCAAGCAGACTTTCAGCAGCTACTTTTCGAGGTGAGTTACCTTCCAGTAGCAGTGGGTCTACGACCACAATGCTGGCCCACCAGTAGGAATTGTATGATTAGATGATTGTCTATGTGATATTCATCTAGGGTTGCTACTACCTGTGATATGTTTATGTGCTAGAATGATATGATGCTATGTGCTAGTGACAGTAAGGGAGATAATCCCCAGATTACTGGTTGATAGGGCCAAAGGGGCAGTCATGCCCAACCATGCTAGATAGATTATGTGATATGTGTTATGTGGTAGAAGTAGGGGTGAAATAGTCCTCAACATCCGGTTGAGAGGACCGAAGGGGAGACCAGCACCCAGAGATGCTAGTCAGCATCCTTTCGAGAGGACCGAAGGGGAGACTAGCACCCAGATATGCTAGTCAGCATCCGGTCCAGAGGACCAAAGGCGACCAACACCCAGATATGCTAGTCAGTGTCCGGTCGAGAGATCCGAAGGGGTAGGTCGGGCACCCAGATATGCCTGACAATATATGTATGTTATGTGGTTATATGGTATGTGGTACAGTGGGGGAACTCACTAAGCTTCGTGCTTACGGTTTACAGTTTTGTTTTCAGGTACCTTTTCGTCGAAGGGGAAGGAGCTGGCGCGGTAGCGACACATCATACATGCACATTGTTTTCCGCACCATGAGTCATTCTGGGATTTTGTACTCTGATATTTGATTGTTTTCATATTTCGGTTTTCAGAAACGATGTATGTTATGAAATGGTTTGATTAGACAATGTTTTATTTACAAATGTTTTCTAAAGTATTGATTTAAAAACAAAATTTTTGGACGTGAAATTTGGGTCGTTACACTGAACCCCCTACTGAAAGTCTAAGATACAAACGACCGACTCGCCCCCGAGTTGCAAAAAACCACTGTAGGCAAAGATTTTATTAAAAACCTACCTAAACATAGGTACAACAGATAAGCATAACACAAATATGATAACTGAAATAGAGAATAGAAACATACCAGCAACCACATTCGATGCTGCCCTGGCCTCCATGGCCATGAGCTGGAAGGCACGCCCCTGAGCCTTCGGAGGCTCCGTCTTGACTGGCCTCCCATCCACAATCCTCAACATAGCTGGTGTGGGAACCTCCGCCAGCTTGGTGGTGAGTTGTGGACAGTTGGTCTTCACATGACCAACCTGATGACAGTGATAACATATCCTAATATCTACCGAAGGATCGGACTAGCGACAGTTCCTGGCATACTGCCCCTCCTTGTCATATTTATGGCACCCACTACCTGCTCGACAAACTATAGAATGACCCCTGCCACGCTTTCCACAAGTGCGGCTTTGCTGACCTCCGGTCCTAGTATCAACGGTCTTAGACCGCTTAGGTATCGACTGAGACTGTGTCGGAACTTAACGTCGCTCCTTCAACTGCAGCTCTATCTCCAACTCACGCTGCCTCGTGGCTTCCTAAAGTTCCAGAAGAGTATCACAACGTTGCGTAGCAAAAAACTGACGGATGTCGGTCTTGAGCATACTTAGATAATGGTTCATCTGAGATTGCTCGGAAGCAAACTCCAGGCAAAAACATAGCCCTCTCCGTTAACATGCGGGTGATCTCCATCACCGACTCTCCATCCTGCCTCAATGTCAAAAACTCCTAAGCAAGCCACTCCCGCTCTATGTGTGGAACATAGCGGGTGCGGAACATATCCCTATACTGATCCCAAGATGTCAGATAAACAACATAATATCGGGAGACCAATTTCCACAAACACTAGGCGTTATGACTTCCTTGCTACGCATATGGGTCTTGTGCTTTCAGTAGTACGGGCCCATACTACCTTCCATACCTACCTATATTTGTCTCAAGTATCACCACAATGCCCTAACAATAGACATCAACATAGCAAGCGCTCAACCCTCACTCCTAGAGGAATGTGAAACTATCTTACAACTGGCCTCACGGCTTCTCACGACCCATCCATCCATGAAACTTCCACCAACCCTGCAGCATTAGTGTATGCTAGCCACACATAATGGTGGACCTAATAGACTTTTGAATATCCAATCCTATCCTAAGGTCGAATCAAACATTCTCAGGCTATAAGATCTTGATTATGCACAGCCGTGATGCATACACTAAACAACTACAGTAATGATGTCAATTCCATATAAAAGAAACCCTAGGATAGTAGGCATCGTATAATCAGGCAAGTCTATCATGCAATTCCTGAAGATCCCTAGCCTAGAACTAGCATGTTGTTCTAACAGATCATAATATCAAATAATTGTATGGTATTTTAGGGTCTACTTACTGGCTCCGGCTGATCGTACACTCCGCATCCTCCATCCCTTATTTTGAAAACCACTTTAGAATTTATTCTAAAAAATTCCTTGATTTGAGACTGGATTCACATGAGTGTTCCTCCAATTCACTCAAACCAAGGCTCTGATACCAACTTGTAACATCCAAAAATTTTAAGCCAAATTTAAACTTTTTCAACCATGAAACCAAATAGCGTATTACATAAAGTTTTCAAAATATTATTCATCAGAGTGTCCCATAAATATAATCATATGGATGAGGAGCGGTACGGTCAAGCCTTCGCCTTGCCATAATCTCCGGAAATACCTGAAACAATAAACTGAAACTGTAAGCTCGAGGGCTTAGTGAGCTACCCCCAAAATACTAATACCACACCGATAATACCATATCAATAACAGATAATCAACAACATGCATATTGGGCCTTCGGCCTGACTGGACCACCCTACATGGCCTACAGTCTATCTGGATCTATCCCGAGCCTTCGATATGACTGGGCTGCCATACGTGCCTACAGTCTATCTGGATCGCTCGTTGGGTATGTTGGCCTTTAGTACAAAGCAGTACCGCCTCAACCCAAACATCAAGCAAATAACAATGTGCACATAACTAACATATACTGGCAGATACAGATATCAGATATAACTATCTCACAGATCCTCGATCATAGCAATCTCTTATAATCAGAGCACCGACCTAACCAAGTCACTAACATACCAATCCTAATGGATCATAAGAGCATAACAACATACTGTCTATCCAAATACCAATCTAACAGATCATAACCACATGTAGCATACTATAACCAAGATAATAACCAAAAGGGTCGGCCTTGGTGCCTTAGACCCTATTGATATAGTGAAGATAACTCACCTTGCTAGTAGCTCGGAATGATACTGTCCACACCTCCAGATATATCTTCAACCACCTCGCCTGTACCCATAAGTGGTCCACTTAATGATCACTCAAATTACCAAAATACCCTTGGAAGGTACAAGACATCCCACAGTCAAGTCAAGTCACTGGTCAATGGTCAACAATCCATGTTGACCTATTTTCTGAATATATCTTTCTCCGCCTCAAGTCCCTCCTGATTCCAAAATTTCTCGACTCGACTCGCCGAGTCGATACGCAACCCATTGCTTGAAAATCCAAAGTGACTCGCCGGGTCATCTCCCAGACCTCGCCGAGTCCGTGCAAGACTAATTTGGACAAAACCCTCCCCGACTCGCCGAGTCATATCCCAGACTCGCCGAGTCCATACGCATACACTCATGATCAAGCAATTCTGAACTACCCCTTTGTTCCAATCAGTAGATCTAGGTCCCTAGAGTGCATTAGCAACATAAAGTTGCTACCTTTACGTATTTTCATGACTCAAATTCCACATCTAAGCTTGAAATGGGACTTTACTTATAAACAAGGGTTCCTTCATGACCCTATTAAGAACTTTATGAACTTAGGGATCAAAAGAGGTTTAGTTCTAAAGTTTTAACTTCAGATCTAGCTCCCACACCATAATCATATGAAAGATTCTAGAAGAAAAGTGGTCAAGGTAACAACTTGTTACCTCCAAAACGTGCCCAAGCTAAAGTAGACTCTGGATCCACACGAAATCCTTGATGCTAGCCTCTTGATCTACAAGTTTCCTTCACAAAAATCACTTTCCAAAGATCCAAAACACTCTCCAAGCTCACACTTACGGAAATTAGGGTTTCTGGCTCTCAAGGGGTGATAGAGGACAGTGGGAGGCACTAATGGTCCAATATATGTGGTGCAAAAACCCTTAAATTTAGGGTTTCCTCTGCCAACTCTTACTCGTCGAGTCCCCCATGACGATTGGCCGATTCACTCATTAAATGACGTGTCCTGACCCGCTACTACTCGACTAGTTACAGCGTCAACTCGTTGAGTAGACCTTAAAACATGAAATCTAAATGGAATAATAATGATACCTTACGGTTGGGATGTTACAAATATACCAAAAGGTTTTAAAATATAGATCACAATAATTATATATACCCCATAACAACCTAACGAACATCATCAAACTATTTTAGTAAATATGATTACATGAGTTTTAAATATATGTATTTTAATTAATATTTATGTTTAATAAAATTTAGATTTTATTTTAATTAATATTAATGGTAAATATTGTATTTTTTATTTTAAAAAGAAAAAAGAAATTAAATGTCAAAACATCATTACACCAACTCATAGGAAACCGTTGCATTGTTTTCTTAGGAATATCTAAACCTTTAAACCCCTCTCTAACATGGGGAGACCAAGAGACGCTTGGAAAGAAGTCCTGCGGAGACAGAAACAGCCAAACCAAATCGATTACAACAGAAGATGGGAAGGCAACGAAGTTACAACGATGTTCGTCACAAATATTCCAGACGGATCGTCAAAAGAGGAAATTGAACGAATGTTTCAGTCTTTCAGAACCACGGTGATATGAGAGACGTATACATGGCGACGAAAAAAGATTCAAGGCGTCAGAATTTTTCCTTTTCCAGATTTGGAGGTATCGCAGATGAAATAAGATTTGAAGAGTCCCTTAAACGATTAAGATTCAAGTACAGAACCCTGATGGTTAACAAAGCGAAGTTCGACAGGAAAGAAACCAAGTCCACGGTCTTACAACAAAAGGTATGTCATACGATTCCTCCCCATAAACCTTCTGGGCACCATGGGGGTTTTCGAGACAAAAAAACATTTGTGGATGTGACGGCTAGGAATGTTGTTTCCAAATGCTTGGTGCACCAAATATCCCTAAACACTGAGATCAGGATGAAACAATGGAAGAACAGTGAGTTATCTCTAATCGGGAAAGCACACAGTGCAAAACACCTAAATGTTATTCCCTCTACTGTTGACTTGGGAAACGATGACTCTGGAAAGGTGGCATACTTGGGGGGTTTAAACATGGGTCTAAGATTCAAGTGCCTAGAAGATGTTGACAAATTCTTAAAAGACCGTAGCTTATGGGGTGAATGGTTTGCATGGGTGGATTATGCTGTAAATGTCAACGTTGATTTTGAAAGGATAATGTGGGTCAAAATTGTGGGTTTACCAATTGATCTATGGGATTAGAGCAACTTCAATATCATTGCTAGTCAATTTGGGGAAGTGGTTATCCCATTCGAGTTTTTTTGCAGCATTCAGGGACTTCTCAATGGCAAAAGTATGTATTATGACAAAATCCTTGAAGAAAGTTAATGAATAAATTGCTATCCAGGTTGGCGAACGCATGGTTAAAGGCGGGATCATTGAAATGGATGAAACTTGGAGTCCCTTCAAGAAGCAGGCGTCGAAGGACAATTGGTTGGACGACCTGCCTGAATCCGAAGAGGAAGATCACCTGGGCGTATCTGAGACGGATAACAAAAGCGAAGACGAAGATTTGGAGGAGGGATAATAGGCATGGATATGGAGGTGGGAATAGTTGAAGAATCAGAGATGCAACCACCGGAAAAAAAATCTCCGGTCGTCGGTGTTGCAGGAAAGGAATTAGGATGAATCTCACCAGGAATTGCAAAAGTCTCAATATGACTTCCCAGGGCATGAAATAAGTTATCTAGCTCTAAATGATGGGCATGTAAGCCTAGTAATTAAAGAATGTTCCCTCCCAACGGCTGGACAAAATAGACCAATTTTGAACTTGTCTTTGGAAGAAAATGGGTCGTTTCAATTCAAATCCGGAGTTCACTTGGGCCCAACTATAACAAGACATTCATCCAGGCCTAGAAAAATGACTAGTTCAAGATCTGTTGTAAATGAGGAGATGTGAGGAAATAAAAGAAAATTGGTGAGAAAATTGGGATCAAAATTGACAAGAATAATGAGGTTCTGCTGGAAGACTTGGGTGTTAATGGTGAGAAAATTGGTCCCCAATGCATTTTCTATCAATAAACTCTAGACGTATGGGTGAAGAATCTAAACTAGAGTGGATTCAAAGAGTCAAGAAGGAAAATAAAGTGAATATTGTATTAAGGAATAAAGATAATCTACACGTGTTCCACACCAATATTTACATAGTCATATGTTGTTGTATTCAGTCACAGTCAATACTAGTTTCTCTCCTGTAAATGTTCCTACTTTATCTCTAGATTAGGTATAACAGCTGGCTATATAAGCCACACCAATGTACGCTATCAGTTAAGTAATCAATACATAATCAGAAGCATTGCTTTATATGGTATCAGAGCCACAAGTGCTCACACGAGACCTAATCCGATCCACAAATCCCAATTAATCAGCGACTCTCGATGGCATCCAAAAATACCACCCAAATCACTGCCACTACCCACCTTACAATCAAGCTCACACCCAATAATTACCCAGTTTGGAGAAAGCAGGTGGAATCGACTCTCATCAGTCTAGAGCTCGATGGTCACATCACCTCTGCACCACTGGCATCAACACTTACAGATAGGGAGGGCAAAATAGTAGCTAATCCCGATTATCGCCCATGGTTCTGTAAGGACCAGATGATTTTCAGTGCTCTGCTAGGAAGTTGCTCAGACTCAATACAACCTCTCGTCTCGTCAGCCACAACAGCCCGTGAAGCCTGGAATCGCCTGCTGATATGTGCATATTTAGTGTGTATTAAGTGTAGTTTATTATTCATATATTAGCTAAATTGTTGCATATTATGGACAAAAGGTACTTAAAAGTGTTAAATTATGTTTTTCAGTCCAAAGATGAAGCTCGGAAGCGAAAGGAAGCAAGAGAAGCGGTTAAGAGCTCAAGAGTGGAAAGAAGAAAGAAAACAACCAAAAAAAGGCTTCTACTCGTCGAGTTGTCTCTTGACTCGACGAGTCCGGTCGCGGATTCAGAAAGATAAGCGTTCGGAAGTCAAGACAGTTATCAGGTTACGACTAATGTGAGAGGGACTCGACGAGTCACCATATGACTCGACGAGTCGGTATGCATATATAAAGATAACTCTATAATGCGAAAAGAGAGAATTCTGGGAAGTTTCAGAAGTGTTTAGCTGCGAATAAGAAGCCAGAAGAACCCTAGAAGTCGACCAAAGAAGCTAGAATCCAATTCCGGGAGTAATTGAGGCGTAATTTCATCATTCTACTTAATTCTTTTGTTTTGTCAATATGATTAAGCAACTTGAACTTATTTGTTTGCTGTTATTCACCTTAGTTATGAACTAATTTCTTTATACTTCTGTTTGGGGATACAAAGTTGACAATATGGTTTGATTGATTGGTAGGATTAATTCTAAGTTGGTGATTAATTGTTATTTTAGCTTGCTAAAGAACCTTGTGTATGAATGATAATTTCTTTTCTGTTAATAGGAAGATAATTGATTAGCATGAACATCTATTAATTATCAACCTCATATGATAAGTGACCACTATATCATATGTCTAGGATTAATGAATATGAAACTAGGATTAATAAGGAAATTGAGTAAATTCATGTGCAAGCTTGTAAGATGACTATCGAACAAGAGGTTAATTAAGAATAACAAATTAATTAGCTATTGCAAGTCTAACTTAACCCGAATAATTAATCTAGTAAATATAATTAAGTTAAGCAATTGGCCACTGTTTGAATTAGTTTATTTGCTAAGGATTAGGGTAGTGAACACAACTTAATCACTTGAATCGGTAACCAACGAAAGAATTAATCCATTGCACTATTACCTTAAAAGCAACCATAAAGTTAACCGAGTTGAACTAAACAGAAGTTTCTTTCCCATTATTGAATCTAGTTAATTTGTTCTTTTCTAGCCTTGCATTAGTTTTGTTTAGTAAGTTTCTAGTCTTGTAAAACTAGAGAAAAACCCTTATTTGCTAAAGTAATTTAGATAGAATTAGTTTTTAATTTAATTTGCCGTTCCCTGTGTTCGATACCCTGCTTATTTAGCTATACCACAATTGATAGGTTCACTGCCTTTTGTGTGTTATTTGATAATTAAAGTAGGATTAAAACTAAGTGAGTTTTACACACATCAAGTTTTTGGCGCCGTTGCCGGGGAACGGTTCTAAAATTAGCATTAAATTCTAATTCAATCGATCCTTTGTGTAAGATTCATCTTACGCAAAGTTAATTTCTGTTTCAATTTTTGTTTAAGTTTTAAAAAAAAAAAAAAAAAAAAACTGATTTTAACGTGAACTCGCCGAGTGCATTCGCCCCGACTCGGCGAGTCTGACGCTGAATCAGATTAAATTTTTGTTCTTTTTTACGCGTTCTGTTTTGTTTTAAGTTGCAGTTAGTTCATGACCCGAGGATCTGCTACGCCTCTAATTCCTCCTCTTGAAGATCCGGAAACCGCATTAAGAAGAAACAAGGGCAAAACCGTTGGAGAAACCACTTCTTCAAAGAACTCACCACTCAAAAACTTCAAATCCGTTTTTGGCAAGAAGAGGAGCAGCAAAGCAGGAGCATCCAGTGCGTCGTTGTCAACCGAAGATCCGATCCCGAAAGACACCGAATACGAGACCGAAGAAGAAAGCGAGCACACATCCGAGTTTGAAGAAGACTTAGCCACCGCAATGGCTAATATTGACGAGATCCCCATGGGGGAGTGGAAGAAAAGGATGCGTGATGACACCGGCCCGGGACTTGTGCAACCCGCAATCCCCGCTACCGCTACGTTCGAACTAAAGGGCCATATTCTCGCTCAACTCAAGGAGATACCATTTCACGGGAGAGATCATGAAGACGCCTATAAGCACTTAGATGAAGTAAATGACGTGGCGGATTACTTCAATGTACCTAATGTGCCCCGCGAGGTCCAGCTGCTACGCATGCTTCCTGTCACGTTCAAAGGAGCTGCAAAGGATTGGTTGAAGTCACTCCCTCCCGGATCAGTTACTACATGGGCCAAAATGAAAGAAGAGTTCATAGATCACTTCTGCCCACCTTCCAAAATAGCCAAGCTAAAGAAAGCCATTGCCAACTTCGAGCAACAACCCGGCGAATCCCTATATGAAGCTTGGGAAAGATACAAGAGCCTACTTCGAAATTGCCCCCACCACGATCTCAATAGCCAACAAGAGGTCTCTATCTTTTATGATGGAGTGAATGTCACCACGAGGCAATTACTCGATTCACAAGGCCCACTCACTCGAAAGACACCTCGAGAAATAAAGGAGTTAATTGAAGAATTCTCTAGGCACTCTAGAGAATACCACAACCCGAGGAATGAAGTGAGTCGCGGCGCAGTAAATTCGGTAAACGATGGTATGGCGGCGGTGATAGCTAAACTCGATAGCCTAGACCGAAGAATGACGAAAATGGATCAAACGATCCATGCTATTAGAGTCGGATGTGAAAATTGTGGCGGTCCCCATCTTACCAAGGAATGTGATCGAGATGAGAATGGAAATAAGAAAGCTCAAGTATTACTCCAGCGGCGATAGATACGATGAAGACTGGAGGAAACCGAAGAAGGAATGGCTCCCATACGAAGAGTACAGAAAGGCTAAGGAAGAAAAATATAAGCAGAGGGAGAGGGGTTATTATCAAAAGGAAGAACCGGTGACGGACAAGAAGACGAACTTAGAAGACATACTTACAAAATTCATAAGCGCGTCCGAGAAAAGGCATAATGATCATGATGTGGCAATGCAAGAAACCAGAAACATGTTGAAGAATCAGCAAGCCTCTATTCTCAACATAGAGAAACAGCTGGGCCAACTTGCACATCAAGTAAACGAAAGAAGACCGGGCCAACTTCCGAGCGACACCCAACCCAATCCAAGGAACGAGAACGTGAGCGTTATAACCTCCAGCGGTGAAGAAGAATTGGCAGAAACACTAAGGGTTTCCAAAGGGAAGGCAGAAAAGGAAGAAGAACCAGAACGAGAAGAACTCGATCCGACTCGCCGAGTCACCAAAATGGACTCGACGAGTCCAGTCGGGAATGATAAAAAAGCCAGTTTTCTGAAGACATACAATCCTCCTTTGCCATACCCATCCAGAGCCATTCCTTCAGAAAAAGTTCAAGCCTATAGAACCTTCATGGAGCATGTCAAAGCTTTACAAGTCAATATGCCATTCGTGGACACAATGCTCCAAACTCCCAAATACTTTAACTTGCTTAAAGGTGTTTGCTGCTAGGAAAGATCTTGCTGAAGTCGCAGAGATATTAATGAGTGAGCTGCCTGAGAAGAAGGGTGATCCGGGTAATATAGTAATTCCGTGCCAATTTGGCAATGATGTTTCTACACGAGCTTTGGCTGATTCAGGGGCAAGCATTAATTTGATGCCCTATTCATTCTTTAAGAAGCTGAATTTACCAGCACCAAAGCCGGTAAATATGAGAATCCATTTGGCAAATAAAACAATTATTCATCCACAAGGCATATGTGAAAATCTCCTTATCAAAGTAGACAAGTTTATTTTCCCAGTAGACTTCGTGGTGGTGGAGATGAAAGAAGACCCCGAAATACC